ATCAGGATTGTGTGTAGACGCCATGAGTTATCTCTAATTGGTCAGTGGCCAAGTTATGTCTCTAGTGGATCATTTAACTTACAATGTTACATAGAGGTTTTCAGGAAAACATTTGGCAAATGTTTCGGCTTTCCAGACTTTCACTCGCCTCAGGCTTAGTTAAGCAGACCACTGGCCGTATCTGGTCCTTCGCATGTTCTGTAATCCAATTCTCCATTGTCTATACATGTACAAGATGAAGTGTGCTTCAGGGTCAAGTGTTTGTTTTATTTGTTTGTTGTTTTGTTGTTTAATGCTGCAATCAGCAATATTCCAGCTATATGAAGGCGGCCTGTAAATAATCGAGTCTGGACCAGACAATCCAGTGATTGATATCATGAGCATCAGTCCACGCTATCGGGATACAATGATATGCATCAACCAAGTCAGCAAGCCTGACGACCACTGAAGGCGTATTTTAACCCAGATCTTCATGGGTCCAAGTATTTGTATGGAAGGTAGCTTTTGGAAATATCTTTTCGTGTGTGTGTGTGTGTGTGTGTGTGTGTGCGTGTGCGTGCATGTCCGTGTGCTTGTGTGCATGTGTGCTTAGTTTTTTGTCCAACATGTCTCCAATATTATTGTGTTTATTCTGTTGAACATTTATGGACAGTTTTACAAGTCACTTGTCATGTTTGTGACAATCACCAACTGATTAACAATGAGGTTTTTTACAATGATAATGAGGTTTCCAATTCAACATTTGTCTTGCATTTAGTGGACAGAGATCTAACTGGTATAACTACACATGGATTATGATAAAGGTTCTAGTTTTGATATCTTCCTTTTTGTTGATATTTTCTGTTGTAAGGATAGGTGTTCTTCCTCAGAGTTGATCATTGCTGATAGTTGCCACACAATCCAATAGCTCATCCTAGAGATTGCCAGATGTGCACGAAAGTAATGGAGATACATGAGATTGGAATTAGATAATCAAGTTTTCAACATGGTCGATAAGGGGAGCAGCAGGGATTGTTTGGAGCGCACAGTATATTGTATGAGGTGGAGCATACAGACACTGATATAAGTGGTATCTACAATATGTGTCACTGTTTCACTTTATGAATGTTTTCTGATCTCACTAACATGATAAAGCTGACATGTATCTGAACTACTGTTTGAAGTTGTGTTTTACCCAGGTCACTCACTCAGGCCGATTCTGTCATCATGCATGTGTGCCAGGGATATTTCCCAATGTGATGTTTTGGATATTTTATTGAATGTTTGCAGATTAGATGTCTGAGATTTGGTTAATTCTATTGATATACACATGTAGTCCATGAATTTACCTCATTGTATTGTTGATGAATCTGTTTCTGATTGTGAAGAAAAATGGAACGAAATTAAAGTAGGATTTAATCAAAACTTGTTAAGTATGTTTATTTTAAACCTCTTCTTCCAAAAGCTTTGTTGCGACAAAAGGACAACTATACCCAGTTACCCATATTCATGATCGATGGACAGTGGTGGTATCAATACTATCATTGATTCCCTAATTTCTGACGTTGACAAATGTTTTGTGACTTCTGTTTTTGCAGTTGAGCCTATTTCAGTCCTGACCATATTTACAATAGGTTTTTTTAGTGGGTATGTTCATAGTCTTTATCTTAGGTAACCAGTGATGATTGGATGGTTACCATCAACAGATGTAATGATACAGTTTGAGTAAGTGTCATTGTTAAGAAAAATGTATTTTCATTTATAATATTGGTCATGTGTGTGAAATTTCCAAACCATGTTGAAAATTGTTTTTTACATTCTGTTTAATACACACTTAGCTTCAGATAATAATTGATTTTTGATTGTGGGGAACAAACTGATTGTTGATAAAATTCCTACAGTTGGCCCTGTGGACTCACTCTTGACCCAGACTGCATGTCAAGTGTTATCAGGTTTGTGAGTTGGGCCTCAGATAATGACACTTGTGTTTCAGGTTACATGCCCATGACAAACATGGGACAGTAGGTCAGTAGTCCTGATGAGTTTCCTTGGCAACTATATACAAATCTAGGTGGTTGCAAGTGAAATAATGGGTAGGTTAAGTTAATATAGTTAATGGAAACACAATTAGTTAATTTCATGGTCTCACCATGCTTTCTACAACATGTACAAGATGCAGAGTGTGGATGTTTGGTATGGAGTCCCATCAAGTGTGGCAGGTGTTCAAGGTCATCATTTATCAGTAATGAACATTTATCAGTATCCGTGTCCAACCTGATCTTCAGCAACTGTTGGCTGTCATATCCCTAGGATCCCTAGTCAGGACACAGTGTGTGTAGGCTACAGTCTCTCCCGAGGGCCACAGTGGCTGACTCAGTTCCATTGTTCTATCTTCACAGGAAAAACAGATTAATGATTTGAGGAAAGAATTTCTTAATTGTTTATGATGGATGCCAAGGTAACCTACCATATACTGCATACTTTTTACCTAAATACATCTATTTTTATACCTGATTTGCAATATACTCATGAACACGTGTTTGTTTATTAGTTGTTTATGATGTGTTTAAGTGTTGTCTTATTAGAAATATACTGTGATGGTCTGTGCATGCATAAATAGCTATCATGGCTAAGTAAAGAGTAATTATGACACAATGTACTGTGTAGGCTCTTTGAACCTGCTGAAAGTATTGCTTTGTGTTCAGTCTGGACAAGGTTATTGTAGTGTAAGGCATGGGAAAAAGCTTTGTTTGGCAATGAAGGAAATATGTTGAAAATGCTTGTTGGTAAATCATGTTGGCTCAGACCCAGATGTATTGTGCTGTGATCTGACTTAGCATGTTGGCTCAGACCCAGATGTATTGTGCTGTGGTCTGACTTAGCATGTTGGCTCAGACCCAGATGTATTGTGCTGTGGTCTGACTTAGCATGTTGGCTCAGACCCAGATGTATTGTGCTGTGGTCTGACTTAGCATGGTGGCTCAGACCCAGGTGTATTGTGCTGTGGTCTGACTTAGCATGGTGGCTCAGACCCAGATGTATTGTGCTGTGGTCTGACTTAGCATGTTGGCTTAGACCCAGATGTATTGTGCTGTGATCTGACTTAGCATGTTTGCTCAGACCCAGGTGTATTGTGCTGTGGTCTGACTTAGCATGTTGGCTCAGACCCAGATGTATTGTGCTGTGATCTGACTTAGCATGTTGGCTCAGACCCAGATGTATTGTGCTGTGGTCTGACTTAGCATGTTGGCTCAGACCCAGATGTAATGTGCTGTGATCTGACTTAGCATGTTGGCTCAATTGTAGGTTTCAATCTCATTAAAATCAGATCTTAGTTCTCGCTACCGCTTAACAAAGATCTGAGGACATCCCATTAAGGGTCACATCAGACCGACATTGCGCGAACTTTGACTGACCAATGGAATGTCCAATCAGAGGGCAGTGTTTTTGTGCGTTACGGCCCTACATGTAATTTCAAATTCAAGCGACCTTGCTTCGCAACATATTTTGACAAATTCTCGTTTACAAACTTGAAACCTAAACAAAAGAACATTCTGGAATGGCTAATAGATGGTCTAGATTGTATGGATTCAGTCGTTAAACTCGTAACTATCGTTCGGAATACCCTGTGTTAAAGTTTTTCGAGGTTGTATGATCAGAAATCACATTCCGACTGTCACTTTCCTGATCTGGTAAGCGATGCTCTGATTGGTCAGATGAAAGGTCGTTCTGACGTGACCCCTAATGGGATGTCTTCAGATCTTTGTTTGGCGGTAGCGAGAACTAAGGTCTGATTTTAATGAGATCGTAATTAATTCATTTTTAACAAAAAATCTGAGTTCCACTTGGATATTGAATCTCCAATTGTGCCATTAAATATCTCCTCTCCTTACTGAAGATACCAGATATTCAATGGGTCAGATCGCCATGGGCCATGACCTAAAGTATGATATGTCCCTGAGCAATTCTGAGCAGTAAGGGATCAATTAACCATGATAACCCTGTATTAGTAGAGCCAGGCCCATCTCTCTCACAGGTTTTATCCTGCTTTGTGGCCCCTTGTTGTGGTCACACATACTAAATAAAATTGTGTTAAGATATTGGCCTACATCCTTTGAGGTAAGAAATTGTGATAAAAAAATTATAAGAATTGACTTTCACTTTGTGTGAGTTCATTGGAGTATGAACCTTCATAGAGTGAGGGCCAAACTGTATGAACGTCAGAGCTTCCAATGTACTCACTCAAAGCGAAGGTCAATTCTTAAATATATATACATGCATAAGCCTCTTCGGTGATAATGTATATGTATACAATTAGAATTTAGATCATGTTTAAAGGGTGGAATTCAGACATAACAATACCATTTTCAATTTGCAAAATGTCAACAAAGGAACCAGGAATGGAGATGTCCCACTGCCTTAAAGACAAAATTGGTCAGTAGTGAAGGTGACTGTAGGACACTATCACAAGGACTTATAATTAACTAATGTGCATGTAAGTGTTTTTAATTTATATAGAAAAGACAAAAGACCAAAGATGAACTGTATAATTTACTCAACTGGTTTCATGACTATGATTTTCATATGACTAGTCCTCCTCCAGAACATTTACGGATTTGCCTTGACATGCATGGACTTTGAAAAGCCTTCTGTTGGCATTATGACCATGATCTTTATCATGGATATCATGGCAGGGACATATTAGGATAATACATATTTAATTTTCAGAGGTCAATTGTGTACATATACATTCTCCTGAGAGATAATCAGTGTATTGTTGATTATGCTAGGTTGCATTTCATGTACATTAGGGGCAGGTAAACTCCTCAAATCAGCTGATCACACAAGCCCGCTGATCACATAGAAGACTGCCATTGTTCGGTAATATTAAGCCTGGTCTGAGACAATGAATTAAGTTGTTTGATGAGGGCTAGGGCAATTCATTGAATGTCATATTAGCTTTGTCTTGTGTCAACAATTTCGACATTATTGACTTGTGTTCTCCATTTCAATGCTGCCAGGATGAGGACGACTTGCCTGTTATGTTTGAGGTGATGTACTTGAAGTTGTCTCCCTTTGTGACCCAGACCCACAAGAGTTTCTTGCATGGCCTGTGCAGCTGTGAAGGAATCGGTGTGATTTCCTCCAGTCCCCATGCCCTCCCTCCCTCTCCTTGCTTGTTGTGTTGACAGTCATCAGGATAATATGGCATTTCTTGTTTTTCTTGTGCCATTTAGTCTGTATGATAATCAGTAATCATGGTAATGTTGTTGTGAAAACGTATGTTGATTTCATATTCTAGATTTGTTTGTTTTTTATCTTGATTTAATGAACTTGAAGTGTCTTAAATATTTCATTATTGTTTCTTTTTTCTTATTCAATGTTGCATGTTTATTCAATCCAATCACAAAAACTATGTAATGCCCAATGTGCCTTGCCTCTCCCCCCCCCCCCCTTAATCTTTAAGTAAATGTAGAGCAAATATGCAACAGGCTACAAAAGAAAACAACATATTTTATGTTCCTGGTGAGTGGTGACTTAATGTATCCATGGATTACTTTCTGGACATTTTAGATATAACCAAAACAGTTGCTCTCCATCTTCTGAAGTGACAATAACAAGTCTGTTTGGGTAAATTAAAAATTTATTTCGTCACAATAGCTCATGGAAGATTATTATCAATGACACATTTTTTATATTGATAATCTAAATACTTCTTCACATCAACAATAATTCTGACCATCGATCTTCTTAGCCAGCCCTAGTTCCTAGTGGTGTTACGCCAACTCATGCACTCACTTGGCAGCAGCAGTTACTGGTGTCACCTGATACAGATGTTTGTCAAATATTGTAACATGTGTGACAGGTAATGTTGCCAGTCTTGTACAAGTGATGTACATCTGTACCAATGTGCATAGCCCTTAACCAAACACTAGCTCCATATCATTTGGGCAAAGCACCTGCACTTGTGTCCAAGTATTGGCAAGTATACAGCATGATAAATGTGTACATATTGATTTTAATGAGATCAGGTTATATCAAGTGACATCAGCATGGGTGATGTTTCCCCAAGAAGATAGTTTCCATTACTCATGTCATACTTACATTGCATCATTCTATGGTAAAATAATTCTGAAAATTTAATTATTCCGCCACATTTGTCTAATTGGATTGGTAGATCCTTTCACCAAGTAATATAAGATACTAGTCTTAATAACTCTTAAGATGATATGCTTCTTTGCTGAGTTAGCCGTGATAAGACTCAATAGTTACCACAGTACTAATGCTGTGTTTATTGTGATGTGTAGGCCATGTGCTTTGAATGTAGACAGATTATCAACACCCCACGGATAAATGAACAATAAGTCAGCATGCATGTGTACATTTATGCAGGATCATCTTCAAACAGATCTTGCAGCATGTGTTGTGGCTGTGTTGTATGTTTTTGTATTATTGTCCCACGCCACGAAGGGGGAGGGGTATATGGGAATGTCTGTCTTTCTGTCACGTTTCGTTTCAAGAGCATAACTCGGAAACCGTTAAATATTTTATTATAAAACTTTGCATATGTTTGAAACACATGCTTAACTGGTGCTGAATCTTTTTTTACATAATTGTGTTTCCTTGGCAACAAGCTGGACCGAGACTCAAATACATGTAGCATCCATTTCCGGAGCATAGATCGAAACCATTTCTTATTTTATTATGAAACATTGCATATGTATCAGACACATGGTGAACTGGTGCCTTTGGATGTATTTCTAGACAAAATATTTTTTGTTTCCTTATTTTACTAAGTGCATAGTGGCTGCAATGGGGAGAGGTTTCTCAGAAACTACTGAAGTTACATGCATGAAACTTTGCATGGTTGTCCAAGACACAGAGATGAAAAAATGATGCCTTAATTATTATTTTTTCCATAGTTGCACTATGGTTACAATTCTCCATGCTTTAGAATTTGTGCTTCCTGCTTCCAGTGCATGCATTTAGAAAATCAGCTTCAATTCTAATGTGCCCGATGGCAGGGGATAGTGATAAAACTGCTTTCTTGTTTAATGTTTTAATCAATTCCAAAGGTCAAATGGTTATGTTTTCTTCTGTAAATGTTTGCACAAGAAGGGTTCAACATGTTCAACATATTCAAGACATAATCATCATTATAATAGCATGTTAAGTAAGTAGGGTCTTGTAGATAACTGCAAGTATGTCATTTATTTGTTTGGGTCTCATGTCAGCTAACTTATCTTAGGCCTGTCCTGCTTATCTACATTATCTACAGTAGAGTGTTCCTTGTTGAATGAACTGTGCCACAGTGCCAGTGCCCTTGCACCAGTTGCAACCTCACTGTATTATGGAATCAATTACTGTTGATAAACTCAAGGTGCTAGTTTCTGTTGTTGTTTTATTGTTCAAATTCATCTCAACACCTCAGTGGGACTACTACAGGTAAATTGAAAATCAAACATGCATAATCAGCAATAGTCATAATCAATGTCATTGTACAGTAATGTGTTTTCATGGGGAGTTTGTGGAAATATGGTTATAAAACTTAGGTGATAATTCTGCTCTATTGACAAACAATGAAACTCTCATTTAAAACATTTGCTGCCCAGGCCGTGCTCAACCTGTTACCATGCATGCCTTTGTGGCAATTACATTTTATAAAATTGTGGAATTAATCAGTTGCAACATCAATGTCAAATGGTGCAATGTATTGTTTATCTTTGATATGGTTGACAATGGTCTAAGCCTGTTATTTTCCATATTGTGCAGCTTTGCCGCTTTGAAAGGTGATGAATGTATGATATACACCAATAGGCAGAAATAAGAACATTGGAGAAAGGTCAGAGAATAGTCTCTAAACATGTTGATGAACAGGAACCTGTAACAGGAACCTGTCGTGATTATTGCTATTGTTATTATTGCAAGTGAAAGGAAATAAAGTGTTATAGACCTTGCCTGTTCACTTTTAAGCCACCCCCAGTACCCATTGCCATGCGTCACAACATTGCCCTAGTTCTCTGCTTACAAATACATAAACTAGGCCATTTGGTGACCACATGATTGAATGATAGCACATGATCATACTAAATGGCAGGAAGCAGATCGGACAGCAAACTTACCATGCTTACCATAGTTATGCTCTTAACACGTTTACCGGTAGTTGGAACAGGTGAAATAAATGTTATGCAATATCAAAATGAACTGTTAGAAATTTATTGGAAATAATGTAATTGTCTTTTGCTTAGAAATAAAGACTAAATGTATCTTCTGATCATAAGAGATGGAAAACACAAAACTGTCGTATTAAAACCATGTTGTTTTAATTTTCTGGCTTGTTATCAGTTTTGAAGTGTTCATCATGTCAAAGTATAACTGCTCCTGGATAGTGAGTGACATCACAGTCCTGTATACCAGCCACTGCACTAACACCATTAACATTATATTTTGGAATGTGCTCAGAAATATTTTTTATGCAAAGTAAGTTTGGCAGTCAGCATTTTTAAAAGTTAGAAACCTTTTCAAATTTTGTTTTGTTTGTTTATTTATGAATGGTGTTCTTATTGGAATCAATCCGGTAGTTGTGCTATATTGCTGCTCATGTGCTTGCAGCTTGCCTGATGAATGGACTCTTCCTGTGTGATTCATAAGATAAATGGAATTATCCTCCATCTCCCCACACTGCCAGACTGTTTACTGTCTGAATGCCTGAATACTCCATGTCTGTAAGCTCACCCAGCCTGGCATCACTTTGCTCAGGACAGCACTGACATTTCCCCCTGTAGGACTACACACTGGTCCTGATGTATCCAGCATTTCACACCTGCCTCATGTCGGCATCCATGCCTCTCATATTGGAAATGTTTATGTTTATTAAATTGCCATTATAATGTTTCATGTATGACATGGTGTACCATTTATTTAACTTTATGTTTTCTCTTTGTATAAGTATGTTAAGTGCTTACTGTGCTTGAGATAACTGGAAGGCAAATGACCATTCATTGATGAGCAGAATGAGTCTTGTGGTCCCCTATTTGACCCATATACACATATGTTGCCATCAATCGGAAGCTCTGGGCTGCAGGCACAACAGCTTACACTGGCAGACTTATCCCTCCGTTCTACCTGTTGTGAATAATGGCATCTAGGACCCACTGGGGGGTGGAGACATTCACATCTAATATTTTTCATTTATACCAAAGGACTTCAAATCTCTTAGAAATTTGTAACAATTTGACACTTAAAATAAAAAACAAAAACAGTTGAAGATATCTTTTCTCCATTTGTTACCATTTTATTTTGGTTGACTGACAAGACTGAGGATGTGTGATGTCTATTTGGGTAGTTAATTTTCATGTTGGTCCTATTTACAGGCGACTGCCCTGTACGACTTCGATGGGGACACACAGAATGGAGAACTGAACCTGGCCGCAGGGGAGACAATCTATGTGTTGAGACAGGTAGGTGTCCGGGCAGAGCACCAGTCAGTTAAACAGGCAGCAAGACGCTAAACAGTAAACTGCAAATAATTTCTCTATGTGTTTTTAGAATAATTATTACCATTATTCATATGAGTTCTTAACCATTAAGTAAACAGGAATACTGATCACTTTCAAAATATCAGGAGGCATCTGCATTGACTGTTTGGGTAAGAGGAGTAGTTAAGGGGGCACTTGGGTCCCTGCTGAGGTGTTCAGCAATAGGTGTTAGAATCTAGCACCACCTTTGTTGTTGTAGGACATAGGAGAAGGATGGTGGGAGGCCAAGAATTCCAGAGGGGATCAAGGTCTTGTGCCAGAGTCGTACCTGGAGGTGAGTCACAGTAGTCATGGCATTGCTTGTATAGAAGAACGTGTGGTGATGATCAGTAGAGGCTGTAATGTAAGCCACTGCTTGTACCAGTGACTGCACTACACCAGATTAACCTTGCACCATGTTCATGGTGGCTTTATATGCATTACTGATCATCTGTGTAGACGATACTCTTTTAAGCGTTTTCAATACCGTATTTTCTTGAGTATAGTGCGCACCCATGTATAATGCGCACCCCCTACAAAAAAATTCGCTTATCAAGTGCAGAAAAAAATTACACCGTACCCCTTCAGCGAAGTCCCGTAAACGAACGGGTGATGAGAAACTTGGTCAGTACAAATTCAAAATTTGAGATAAAAAAATCACCAGACATGTTGATTTACCGTTTAAATTGTATTCTTGTTCTGCTAGGTATTGTTTTCCATCCAGGGATTAAGATTACCTTGTGTATTTTCTCGTAAACTAAGCCCGAAACAGCAATCAGCTGTACACACGTTTTCTTGGAATCTACCGGTGATTCGGTCAAGACACACCCAATGATATAACTTTACAGGATTTTAATCCAAGGATCAGCAAAAATTGTATCTGAAACTATTGTTTTTATCAGGAATAATATATTCAAATATCTTGTTAATTTAGTTGCAGCTTTTACTATTATTTAAAATAATAATAACCCTAAGCGAAGCAGCTGATCGCTATTGCCAGTTATTATCCCCCGCAACGAAGTGGAAGGGGGATATAGCAATGGGTGCCGTCCGTCTGTCTGTCTGTCCGTCCGTCTGTCCGTCCGTCACATTTCGTTTCCGGAGCAGATCTTGAAAACCGTACCATATTTCTTCACCAAACTTGGCACATAGATAGATCTAGTGGTGAACTGGTGCCTTTTGATAGTTTGGGATTTTTTAAAAAGTTATTTTTCGAGTTTCCATGGCAACGACTTTGATTTAGACTGAAAATGACGGTAGTCCTCGTTTCCGGAGCAGATCTTGAAAACCGTACTATATTCCTTCATCAAACTTGGCACATAGATAGGTCTAGTGGTGAACTGGTGCCTTTTGATAGTTTGGGATTTAAAAAAAAAATTTTTTCAAGTTTCCATGGCAACGACTTTGATTTAGACTGAAAATGGCGGTAGTCCTCGTTTCCGGAGCAGATCTTAAAAACCATACTATATTTCTTTACCAAACTTGGCACATAATTTCATCTCACACTATTGAATACATTTCCTTTCTTGTCGGTAAGTTCTGCATTGCTTGAGTGTATGTTCCTCCAAAAGTGTCATGGACACAGTTGTTGCATTCACTGACTAACTTCATACAGAAACACAACTCATTACAAATAAAACAGTGTAACTGATCTTAAACCTACTCAACTGTATAAACAATATATATTCTTGTCAACCATACTCTGTACTTCACTTGCTTGATAATGGTGTTAGAACCTACACCGAAACCATCGCTCCTAATTGTAATAAAGAAGTTGTTCGTCCATATGTCTCATCCTTACTCATTTCAAATTCAGTAAAATATTCTATCATAAACTGCAGATGGAAAAACAACACCAGTAATAACCTTTTTTAGTGCTGCAATTAGGCCATTTACAAAAAGGCCCAGTGAACATAGTTCACAGGAGCTAATGCATTGCACACACCCGACATATACATATATATATATGTGAGTATTTCATGCTTGTTATTTTTCACATGGAACCAGTCTGACAAGTCACCGTCAAGGCACTCACGCACGTGATCGTGTGATCGCGAGAACTACATGTTGACATAGAATCGTCAAACTATAACAAATATGACTTTTAACGAGTCAAAGTATGGCATTTATGATACATGTATCCATTCTCTGTCAACTAAAGTGTGTTTCAAGGTGTCAATAGCGGTAATCTGACCGCGGTTGCTGTTTAATCACGGTGAGTTGTGCGATCTTTCGATCGCTTCACACACGATTTTGCCGAAATTAATTAAAACAATATTTAATAGGAATTTTGAATAAAATCAATGAAATAAGTTACAAACAAAAGTCCAGATATACAAAGAACACTTTTTTATAGCCAGACAGTGTAATTACATGATTAATTTGCATACTTCAGTATGGATTGTTGACATGGTATTTTCGGTGTTACGTGCTCATGGTAATGTCTTTCCAGGGGGGGGGGGACATCAAAATTCATTATTTCGTGTATAATGCGCACCCCCCTCTACACAGCTGTGTGCACTATACTCAAGAAAATACGGTACAAGAAACTTTAAAATTGCAAACAAAACCCTGTTGACAATTTCAGATTTGGATGAAAATGCATGGAATTTGGCTTAAATATGATAATGTTTGAACCTTAATTATTAAGATCATTGCAGAAAAGAAAAGAAGTGATGAATAAGAAAACTGTACAAATGTACATATCTAAGCATTTAAAATGCTGTAATAGTCAACTGTGGACATAGTGAAGTCCTGAGGCAGTCATGTTGCAGGGTGTTCCGAGTGACCAATTCAGTACCTATGCCTGTGATTCATGAAGTTGGATATGCCAAGTGGGGTTTATGAGTTGAGGGTTCCTGTGATTAATGAAGTTGGATATGCCAAGTGGGGTTTATGAGTTGAGGGTTCCTGTGATTCATGAAGTTGGATATGCCAAGTGGGGTTTATGAGTTGAGGGTTCCTGTGATTAATGAAGATGATATGCCAAGTGGGGTTTATGAGTTGAGGGTTCCTGTGATTAATGAAGTTGGATATGCCAAGTGGGATTTATGAGTTGAGGGTTCCTGTGATTCATGAAGTTGGATATGCCAAGTGGGGTTTATGAGTTGAGGGTTCCTGTGATTAATGAAGTTGGATATGCCAAGTGGGGTTTATGAGTTGAGGGTTCCTGTGATTAACGACGTTGGATATGCCAAGTGGTGTTTATGAGTTGAGGGTTCCTGTGATTAATGAAGTTGGATATGCCAAGTGGGGTTTATGAGTTGAGGGTTCCTGTGATTAATGAAGTTGGATATGCCAAGTGGGGTTTATGAGTTGAGGGTTCCTGTGATTAACGACGTTGGATATGCCAAGTGGGGTTTATGAGTTGAGGGTTCCTGTGATTAACGATGTTGGATATGCCAAGTGGTGTTTATGAGTTGAGGGTTCCTGTGATTAATGAAGTTGGATATGCCAAGTGGGGTTTATGAGTTGAGGGTTCCTGTGATTAATGAAGTTGGATATGCCAAGTGGGGTTTATGAGTTGAGGGTTCCTGTGATTAACGACGTTGGATATGCCAAGTGGTGTTTATGAGTTGAGGGTTCCTGTGATTAACGACGTTGGATATGCCAAGTGGGATTTATGAGTTGAGGGTTCCTGTGATTAACGACGTTGGATATGCCAAGTGGTGTTTATGAGTTGAGGGTTCCTTGGAATCAGCATTGTTAGTTCTAAAAGGGATTGACTGTTGTAATATGTTTAGACAAGAGCCATTTATTTTCTTCTTGGGTGGATTTTCTTACTCTATGTAAACACATGCTAACATCAGTGAAATGCAGGAGGTCAATAAACAAGTAAATGGAAATGCCATCAGTGTTGACTTGATGTATATTGTGCAGAGAGAATTTAGGGGAGGGTAATCCATGAAACATGACAGACCCACTACTAAATTCAAGGAAAGAAGCCCTCAGGTAGACTGATAATTTTCCTCTAAGAATGATTGGTAGCACAAATATTCTTGATCAATATTAATGTTTCAGGTGGTGTCAATACCCGAGCCTGAGTTCCCACCCCCACCAGTGCCCTTCCCAGCTACCATCCCATCTACCATCCCAACAGCCGTCCCAGCCACCCGTCCAGCAGACCTAACCCCAGCTGCCAATGGGTGGGGGGGAGCGTACAACCAGAATGGCCAGCACGGTGCCATGCAGCAGCAGCAGAGCTATGATGAATGGGACGAAGACTGGGATGACGATGAAGATGATCAGTCCAGCAATAGCACCACTGGAGGGGCAAATCAGGTACCATCAGTACACATGTTTACTGGGGTAGGGGTTGGGATGTGTGAATTGGGGGTGAGGCAGCAGCCAGTGGTTTGTCACCACACTCATGGATTTCCTTAAAGTCACTTTGGGTTTTCCTCCCATACTATGCTATCATACAGTGACAACTAAAACACTGTTATAAACATAGAAAACAGTTAAGCTGATTTTACAAATTGTCATGCTCTTTTACACTCTATAATGCAAGTGACTTTGTTCGAAATGTCCCTCTGTTCTCCCAGCAGTGAATGGCTACCTGGTAGGATGAGATGGTAATGTGGCAGTTAATCTTCTGACGCCTCACTGGCAGCTTGGGTTGTATACTCCCCAGGCAGCTGAGAATGATAAGCGAGTGCACACTGATCCATAGACCGGGGTAATGTTAGTGCCTTGAGCATGCACCCTGGCACAATATAAGTACACACATTATAATTAATTATTAATATATAAAATCTTATGTTAATGTATAGCTAAACAATCTTCATGGTAAAGTGTGAATCCGGAGAAGTATTATGTTTGTGTTTATTACATCTATATGCATGGTAAGTGTGTGCAGAAACCTTTTACCCATACAAATATGGCACAAATGGATGCAGCAGTGGCGTGATGACATGTAAGACATGCCCTCCCTTGCACTTACAGGCATATTGTTCTATCACCCAGGCTGAGTTGAGGAAGGTGATCAAATCTCCTGGCCATGCTCACCTTACGCTCATCTACAGCAGATTATTGAAGCTGTTTTTGCTGCCTAGGGTGTGCGGTTTGTTTGTCACACTATTATGCAGTTCTTGGTGATTGTTTAAAGTCAGGATACAACCATCATACAGACTTGCCTAAGCTTCAGCTTCAGACATCAGATGACTGTTTTGTTGTAGGACCTCCAAGGATCAGGATCATTTGGTCTGTCGGTGCCAAAGAGGGAACACAAGGCCCACTCACCCACCTCTGAAATGTCCAAATATGGTACCATTAAGAGCAGCTTTAATAGGTGAGAGTAACAGAATTTATGGTTGAAGCTATGAGAAAATGCAGATTATCTTTCCTGGGGGAATTCAGTTTGAAAGTTCAGTGTTTCCGTGTGTTCTTCAGGATGACTACGTGTGGGGTAGTCTAGTTGTCAGTTGGTTGAGTTACAAGTTGCTTAGTTTCATTTAACCCTTTATTATGATTATTGCTTGTTAATCTCTTTGTGAAACTATTGCAAGATTATTATAAAACGCAAAATGTAATCAACTTTCTGATACTGCTGTTGTTTCTGCAGATGGTCTCACTTTGCAAAGTCTGGTGGCGAGGCCTTCATGATGGGCCAGAACACAGGGAACACACGAGTAGCTGAGAGTGACCTCATCAGGATGATTGTAAGACAGCACTGCAACAAATTGTAGCTTCCATATGCTTGACTTTCGGAATCATTTGTAGGCACTAATTCCTACTCTTTGACTTCATGTCAGTATTGTGGAGGACACTGGATGTGTGGAGCACAAGAATGGACAATCATCCTAACAGATAGAATAAGTAGAATCATTTTCGTTAAACAATTGCTGGTTCAACATGTTTAAGGAATCCTTGTTTCTTAAAGTCTCTTGTATATATATATATGTAACTGTGCCTAACAGAAACAGACAGGGTCACTGTAATAAACAGGAAACTTACTAAAATGGGTAGGATTCAGTTCTTCAAAGCAAAGATGGTGGGGTGTTGGAACCTTTGCTTGTATTTCCAGGAAACAATTGAAGGGCCGGAGTGGACCCCCATACAGAGCCAGTACACATGTGAGGTGGCATCGCCAAAGAAGGAGAGTAAAATGAAGGGACTCAAAAGTTTTATTGCATACCAGATAACTCCATCAGTGAGTAGTGCAGGCCAACACAGGTCCATTCTCTTTCCTTGAATAGATACCAACTAACGTTTATCAGGAATTTTGTGTTACTTTGTAATTACATTTGTTTCAGTTTTAAGCTGATTTGATATTATTATGATATTGTATAGATACCATTATTACGAGACAGTTGAAAATGACCTCCATGTCAACATTCTTTTCTTAGTGAAGGGAGGTAATGTGTGAAGATTTCTTCCCTCTTATCTACTTGAGTTGAAATTCTACACTGAAGTCTGATATTAAATGTATAGCAAAACTTTGTTCATGATACTACATAATTGAAAACAATTGGGTTTAGCATATCAAATTATCGTTGAGAATAATTCTTCCGAGTTGTTGCCCTGGATCCATACTTTTCATCTTAGTGCATAGTGTCTGCAGTGAGGACAAATTTTCTCAGTAACTAGTTAAGTTACGTGAATGAAAGTTTGCATACTTAGCTAAAAGATACTTGTCAAGACTGAGTATGAAATATGGTGCCGTTAACTTTTTACGGAGTTATGGCCTTTGATCTATGCTTTTCAACTAAGTGCGTAGTGTCTGCACTGGGGACAGGTTTTCTCTGAAACTACTGAATTTACATGAATGAAAGTTTGCATTCTTATCCAAGTGATACTTGTTAAGACTGAGTTCGAGAATTGGTGCCATTAATTATTTTTTCCAGAGAATGGGCCTTTTGTGTGTAAACAAAGCAAACCTAGTGCCTGTCTCTTCTAAGGCTTTATAGGACTCTTGTTTTTGTAGTTTTTGTTGACTACTATATGAACAAACAAAATTCTAATGTGCCCCATGGCAGGGGATAATTTGAACACTGTTTTCTTGTTGTAGCTTTGTCCTTGATTCATTCTAATAAATTCATGTAAAAAACCTTTCTTTTTTCAGTTCAATGGTATTCAGGTCAGTCGAAGGTACAAACATTTTGACTGGCTGCACGAAAGACTGGAAGAAAAGTTTCCTTGCATCCCTATCCCTCCTCTCCCAGACAAGGCAATATCTGGTGAGTACCGACCGACACCGATAGCTCCTGCCCCTCCAGCTCCTACTGGAATGGTTTCCATGAAAAAACATCTGTGTACAGTGAGAGTTGCTTGGTTGTCCAGTAGTTTACATAGTACAGCTTGTGTAGAGTGATGTCTGTCATATGCCCAACTGCTGATCATGGGCTTAAATCCCAGATTCCCTCGATAATCAAGACCAAGTTGTATCTGACCCTCACTAAGTAACTGCTACATTAAACCCTAATGATTCTTTAAGGTTCCATTCAGAAGATAAACCTATTGTTATTTAGCCATAGTAGGCAGATACCTTGAAATATTCAAATAGTCAAACTGACATCCCTCAAGAAAATGAAGCAACCTATTGTTCTTAAGTACACCACTATTACCACATCAGAAACTACTATGAATTGGAAATCTAAGCTCTGTATTTGAATTCATGGTAACCTAAGAAACATATTAGAATTTGAATGAATGTGAATAAGGCCTTATTGAAATAAGTAAGTGCACATGGTGACATTATTGACTTCATGTGGCCCCAGCTGTGATGTGATTTGTGCTGGACGGTAGGTTAAATGATATGTGTATCCAGCTGTGACATTTTACGAAAAGCCTGTGTAAATATAAACACACACCAAGAAATCATAAATACCATGATCCATTGATGATGCTACCTTGCCTGACATTCTCTCTTACCTGATGCAATTTTGAGTTATTCCCCTTTGAGTAATGATAAAACAATTAAATAGATTACCGTATTCGACCCAATAAGCGCCCCTCCCCCAATAATTTATATAGTAATTATTTCGTTTTAAATGAAAATTGTCCGGGAACCGAGGTTTCCGGATATTTGAAGTCCGTATAAGCGGGGCATGACTGTATTCTGTTTATTTTAGATATTTGTGACTTTGAATATTATGAGCAGAAAAAAATTACACCGTACCCCTTCAGCGAAGTCCGGCAAACGAACGGGTGATGAAAAACTTCGTCAGTACAAATTCGAAATTTGAGATAAAAAAATCACCAGACATGTTGATTTACCGTTAAAATTGTATTTTTTGTTCAGCTAGGCATTGTTTTATATCCAGGGATTAAGATAACCTTGTGTATTTTCTCGTAAACTAAGCCGGACACAGCAATCAGCTGTACACACGTTTTCTTGGAATCTACCCGTGATTCGGTCAAGACACACCCAATGATATAACTTTACAGGATTTTAAATGCAAGGATCGGCAAAAATTGTATCTGAAACTATTTTTTTATCAGGAATAATATATTCCAATATCTTGTTGATTTAGATGCAGCTTTTACTAAACATATTTAAAATAATAATAACCCTAAGCGAAGCAGCTGATCGCTATTGCCGGGTGTTATTTTTTACATGGAACCAGTCTGACCAGTCACCGTCAATGCTCCCGTGCACGTGATCACGTGGTCGCGAGAATTACGTGTTGACATAGAATCGTCAAACTATAACAAATATGACTTTTAACGAGTCAAAGTATGGCATTTTTTATATATGTATCCATTCTCTGTCAACTTAAGTTTGTTTCAAGGCGTCAATAGCGGTAATCTGACCGTGGTTGCTGTTAATAACGGTGAGTTGTGCGATCTTCCGATCGCTTCACACACGATTTTGCCGAAATTAATTAAAACAATATTAAAAGGAATTTTGAATAAAATTAATGAAATAAGTTACAAACAAAAGTCCAGATATACAAAGAACACTTTTTATAGCCAGACAGTGTAATTACATGAATAATTTGCGAACTTCAGTATGGATTTGTTGACATGGTATTTCCGGTGTTACGTGCTCACAGTAATGCCTTTCCATGGGGGAAAAAACATCAAAACTCATTAATTTGTGTATAATGCGCACCCCCTTCTACACAGCTGTGTTTTTTGGAAAAAAAGTGCGCACTATTCTTAAGAAAATACGGTAAGGCTTACTGATGAATTTACGCCAATTTGACTCTGAATTGGCCCCAATAAGCGCCCACCCCTTCTGTCTTTTTTAAGCGCCCTGGGCGCTTAATGGGTCGAATACGGTATGTGTGATTCAGATATCATTTTAAAAGTTTATTGTAACATTGATATTCATAAAATAGACATTATACATCACATTTAAATATTTGAAGGAATATGTATAGTAAAACAGATGCAGTTCTACATCTTAATTCTAATTGTTTTGTTTATATTTTACAACTTCAATATTGTATTGACAATAAATCAATGAGGGTTTTAGAAATATTTCCCAGCCTACGTCATACATTAATCTCTTTTTTCGGTTTTCTCTCTATTTTTTAATCAAGAATTCATACTGATAATTTTTTTTTACTACAGATGTTTATAGATATATTATCAGACATGTTTGGTTATGTTACCGGTTAATGGAACTCCCAAACATCCATGAAGTTGATGGCCCCTTGTGTATGGATGGTGTCATTTCCTCCTTGTTCCAACTGAATTTAATGGCATATCACTTGATGGAGATGTAATGACACATTCATGCATTATCAAACATGTTACAGTTTGATGCAACTGGGCCCAGGTCACGACGATTCTCAGTCTTGCTGGTATATATTGTTTAATATCGATACGAGACTTCATCCTAATACATACTTCTCTCGATCAGCCCTTGGGCTTTCCAAAGTTATGTATCTTCATATTATTATTTTCAGTTCCAGTTTTCAGTTCAATTACAGGTTTGATTTTTACCACCAGTTTGACACCACCCCCATGTGACATTACTTTCCTTGAACTATTCTTACTCCCTACACCCAGTGACCTTGTGTTATCATCTCCGTAGTACCGGAGTTGTGTCATGTTGAATGGAGGAGTAACTGTAAAGATGTGTGTCTATCCTCCATCTAGCGCCATCCTAGCACAACAACTTGAACAAGGTTAATGGAAAACAATAATCTGTATTTTATCTTATCCTGACTCATACTTATTGCTTATCTCTCTCTCTTCCGAATAGGTAGTGGAAACATCCTGTGCTGTTCCCAAAGAACAGAGATAACAGCTCACCCAAATGCACCCTCACTCTGCGCATGCGCACCGGAACCATGTGACCAAGCCCAGTAACTCATCACTCTCTCTTTTTCGCGCCATCTTGGCAGCTGGAAATTTTTTCTGTGCATCGTAATCCAAGCTTTCCTTAAAAATTCACCCTTTTAACAAAATGTTTTGCTTGGATTATCTTCTGTGGTATTATATACATCATATCTAACCATTATTTTATATATTTGGCATTAGAATTTTTCGTAATTTGGACTTAAAGCAGCCCCTATCGAGTTATGAAAACATGTAACCGATGTAAATTACGTGTTTCAGATTCGGACCCTCATCCAACCTGTACCAGCTGCACAGTACAGAACTGCACTGCAGAGAATAGATGCAAATTCTGCGCCCCCTTGGGGAAGGAAGAATTTTGTAATTATCTTTGTGCAGGGCAGAGGGAAAACATGGATCGAAAACAACGTGAGTCATCACGCTCGTTGTCATCCACGGAGACGGCAAAAAGTAAGAAGAGTTGAGAATCTACGCCCTGCCCTTCGTCAGAGGAATTCGATTTTGATATTATTCAAATTACTCCCGCTGAAGATGATGCAGTCACCCCCCATCTTACTTCCTCGTCTACCAGTAAGAAGGTTGGAGGGTCTAGGAATAAACCTACTGAAAGTTTCAGTCAGCGATCAATCTACAACAATTAGCTAAGAAAAAGAGTGCTGCATCATCTACTTTGAAGCTGTCTTTCCCTAGGAGAAAGCATGTTTTTGCAGAGGTTATCACCTCTACAGAACCACGGACTTCGTCCGGTCACAAAGGGGATTTCAAGAAAATCAGCTGTTTCTTCTAGCCAGAAGAAAGCCTGCGCGCAGACAATTACGTCCGCACAACCCAAGAGGTGCGCGCAGCCCGCAGTGTCATCCAATCAGGCTACAAATAAAGCTGATATAAACCTCAATCAGCCTCAGACCTTCGTGCAGATACCGGCCTTAGCGCAGCCCAACACAGCAATTAAGCAATCCCCTACCTTCCCGCAGGCTTCAGCCTGCGCGCATGCTATTAATCAACAAGAGTATACACAAACGCCAGCGTTCGCGCAGGCTCTCGCCTTCGTGCAGCCTTCAACGTTTACACTGCCAACTACCTTCACGCAGCCTACCTTTTTTACACAAGGTACTTTGCCAACCCCTGCTATTAATACAGATATGATAGCAAATATCACTCAGCAAGTTGAAATGGCTATGCAACAACAAATGTGTAAACAACCTGGCACGCAGTCGACTATCTCTTCACACAATAGCTCGCAGATGTCGCAGCCTTCATTTACGGCTCTGAATCCTAACGCCTCCTATCTTCTGCGAGAGGAGGATGTGTTCGAGCCCCCTCAAAATGACGACACATTGGGGGAAAATTACCCTTCAATTTATGAGGATCATGAATTAATGGCATGGATTACAGATAGACTACCGATATCATCACTGTCAAGAAATTCTTCTCCCACTGATACATACTGTATCAAAGGGGACGATATAGACACACTAACCATCCCACCGATAAAACCAATCTCCAACATTGCAGAGAATCTTAACGTTTCTTTTGCGAAAGCCACGAAATCAAAAGGACTTCAAACACCGAGCTTTTATTCTAAGAAATTCCCCATGCACACCATGTCGCAATTTCTTCGCTCACCGGAGATTGATGATGATTACTCACTTATGTCAGACTCCAAAAGTATAAGAAAATTGCACAACTTGAAACAACTACAAGACATGCATTCTTTGGACTAGCGATGTCACGCGCTATGAAAGAAGCTATGATCTATGAATTAAAAGAGCCTCAGAACGACCGTGAAAGAATGTTACTTTAAGCGCTCGTCAATCAAAAGAAAAATCAAGAAATTATTTCTGATCATATGAGTTCAGTGTCGGCAGGATTAACACTACTATGACGACAAGGTCTTATAAATAATTCTAATTGGTCAGATACCTATACCAAAGAATTATTAAGACAACCCTGGGAGGCCGCAACCATTTTTAATGGTAACATACGCAAAATAAACAAAGAAGTGCTTCAAGACTCCAAAGATCATATGCTGATCAAGTCAGTTCAGACTATGAATTCTATGTATCGTCAATCCATGCAGAAAACCCATTTCAAAAGCCGTTTCACGGGCATTCAAAAAGCTAAAGAGAAACGCTCGTACAACTACAGAGGCGGGAAATCATCTGCCTTTCGCAAGTCACATGAAACGTCACGTGATGCCGGTCGCGGCCGCGGATCGATTGAATCCCGCAATTACCGGTGAAGATGGGCAGATGAACGACTGGGAACTTCCCCCCCCAGCCGTTCATGTACAGCATTCCCCAGTAGGCGGAAGATTGGCAAGATTTTGGATGAATTGGGACATTCTTGGAGAAGAATTTGAATCCAACATTCTAAGAAAGGACTACGCCCCGACTTTATTCAAGAAACCACCGGAAATACGTTATCGGAAAGAACTGTTGCCGAAGTTGACCGAAGCAATCAATTCACTTCTCAACAAGGGCGCAGTCGAGAAAATTCAACCAGAATTACTAACGCCGGGTTTCTATTCCCCGATCTTTCTGGTTCCCAAAAAGAATTCAAACGAAAAGTTTCGTTTGATTTACAACATGAGGAAATTCAACAAGAAATACCTCCCCAAACCGGAGAAGTTCAGAATGATTCATTTACCACAACTAAAACAGATGATAAGACAGCACGACTTTCTCGGAAGCATCGATCTACAGGATGCTTACCTACACATTCCCATAAAACGGACTTTCAGGAAATATTTACGTTTCCTCTTCAAAGGACAACATTACCTTTGGAATTTCCACGGCCCCGTGGCTATTTACACGAGTGACCAAACCAATTGTGACATTTCTTCACAACAAGGGAATTTGTTGTGCTTTTTACATAGACGACGGGATACAAGCCCATCAATCAACAGAGGTACTCAGACTACAACTGAATTTCACCCTGAAATTATTAACACAACTGGGTTGGTTAATAAATTTTCAGAAGTCTGATCTACAACCATCTCAGGACCTCAAATTTCTGGGGATCAGATTTCTAACTAATCAGAACCTAATAATGGTACCAGGAGATCGGTGGATAAAAATCAAGACTTGCTTGCCAACAGCAATTTACAAGAAAATCTCAGTCAACGAATGGCAAGTGATACTAGGCTTACTCACGTCAGCCCAAGCGTTCCGAGGCAGACTACACTTACGCCCTATTCAGAGATTTCTAAATCCATACCTAGAGTATCAGGATTTAAAACTGCAACTACCACAAACTTTGAGGAAACACCTCTTATGATGGACAGTGAAATTGAACGTTTGCGCAGGAACTTGTTTAAACGAGCCAGATTACAACAACCACCTATTCGTGGACGCCTCACTTCAAGGCTGGGGAGCTCACTTCAACGGAGAAGTAACAGCAGGCCTATGGTTAGAAGCAGAAAAGCTCTACCATATCAATTATCTGGAGGCAGTAATCCGTGCAATATTTCACTGGGCCCCACAGTTAAGAAACCAACGTCTGATGATCAGAACAGACAGTTCAACTGTGGCATACAATATAAACCTTCAAGGCACGACAAAATCAGAGACCCTCCTGAAGTTGACATTTCAACTTTACGAGCTAATAGACAATCTGAACTTAACAATAAAGGCAAGACATATACCAGGAGTGGCAAATGTCTTAGCAGACGCCTTATCCAGGCCAGCTAAACCATCACCGACAGAATGGAAGCTACACCCAGAAGCATTCCAACTGGCAATAAAAGAGAAAGGTTGCCCACTGATAGATCTATTTGCAACCAGATTCAACAATCAGATAACAACATTTGTATCACCAGTGCCAGACCCACTAGCTTGGTCAGTCGATGCTCTGTCAATATCATGGGAGGGACTAAACGCGTATGCGTTTCCTCCACCAGCCGTGATACCACAGATATTACAAAAGATCCTACACACGAGCAGCCTACAACTGCTTTACGGCCTTACGGCCGGCGAGAACGTGGTTTCCAGATCTCGTCAAACTAGCAGGGAATCCAATGTTAAAACTTCCAAACTGGCCAAATCTACTGCTACATCCTCACTCCAATCAGGTCCATCCAAGACCAGATCTATACGAACTTCACGTATGGAGCATATCAAGAGCAGTCTTGTTAAAAGAGGATATTCCATAAGAGCAGCTAAGGCAGTCTCCTTAGCACTTCGTAGATCAACGAGGAATCTCTATGATGATAAATGGAAAAGTTTTGACCAGTTTGCAACATCCAAGGGTTTTTCGGCAGCCAAAGCTACTATACCACAAGTAGCAGATTACCTATGTCACTTACGAAGTACAAGGAATCTTAAAGGTTCGACACTGGGCACTTATTTGGCCGCTATCAGTTCTGTGCTGACAATGGCTAACGGGATAAAACTTACTAAAGTTCCCGAACTGATAGCCCTACTCAGATCCTTAAGACTTGAGGACCAACAGAAAAGATTAAGAACCCCAGCATGGGACCTAAATATAGTGCTACAACACCTAACCAGTGATGCATACGAACCGCTCCAACAGGCCGACTTTGAACACCTGACGCAGAAAACCCTATTTCTTCTGGCATTAGCTACGGCAGCCAGAATGTCTGAAATCCACGCGATAGACTTCAATCGCA